TCTAGTCAAAGTCTTTCTAACTCCCACCAAATGACCTTTACTTGTTTGCATCTAGAGAAGGAGGTGGGGAAGGACACCAATAGGATTTACCTGTAACTGCTAATAGGATACATTGTGATTGTCAACATGCTGTGTATAAAACGAGCCCTTTAAGAAGTGGGAAAGGGGACCTCATCACCAGCAAGAGCCAATATCAGTGCACAACCTCCGGACCGAGAGCCCCGGCAGGACCCTCCTGACTTCCACAGCCAACTGTGCCACCAGAGGGGCGGCAGCAGCAGCAGCAGCAGCAGCAGAGTGGCGGACTTGCCAGCCCAGCCGTCAGTACAGCTGAGTGCTTGCAGAGTGGGGTCCCGCCGGGCACTAACTGTGGGAGTGTGACTCGCTGACCCGTGGAGTGTGAGCGGAATGCCTTCGGGTTGAGACATACAGTGGAATTTCAAGCCCTTGGGCAATTATTAGTAGCCCTGAAAATACTCTTAACATATCCCGATGAACAACTGTATCTTGGAGCATATCTTACTTGCACTGCAATGTCAACTTCCTTAATAAGCCCTTTCATCCGGAATATTGCCTGTGACTTCTGTGTAGTCATGATAATGGATCATAGAGTCTAGATCAAAAAGGTAGAGAATATTGGTTCAGTGTCAGAACACACAGCCACTGCTTTGGAATCGACCCAATGGGAGCAGGCGGGAATGATTTATGACAACTAAAAAAGGCCTAGTTTCCCCTTGAAATTACTGTTAAACTCCACCTAGTCAGGCCTGCCCCCCCCCACCCTTTAAAAATACGATCCAGGAACAGAATATACGATATTGAACTTAACATGGCTCACAGAATTTATTAACTCATGAGCATTTGTCAAAAAAATCCAAACAAAAAGCGGGCCTCTCGAAGGAAATGAATCATCCTAATGTGACAAACTCCTAAAGGGCCCAAGGGAATCCTTCCAATTAAACCCCTCCATGCCTGGGATGGTTAGTCACTAAAACACATGTGTATTATTGTGCTTATTAACCAAATGAATTGTTAGGTTTAGGGAAACCTTTATGTAAATTCTTTGGCAAAGGAATAGTCTACAGCTGAAAAAAATCCGATAGAAAACTGAGCTGGCAAAGATGTACCCGCCCCCACCCCCCCTACTTACTGGGCAAGGGACGTCCGGGACAAATCTTTAGTTTTTGTCCAGTTTTTAATTCAAATTCTAGAAGAGATCGAATTCAACTTTTCTTTGCAATGATATTGTATCATAACAGATTTGACAGTCAGGAAATTCCTCTCCACCCTGGTATTTAGATCACATGTTCTTTCTGTGTATTTATCCCACATTTCCCAATAACAACTCAAATACACAGTCAATGTCATCCTTTTTCTGTCTGCTTCATAGAAGCAAATTCTGCTTTCAGGTTAAGTCTGAACCCTTTGCATATCCATACCCAATAATATTGCGAAAAACATAGTTTTACAAGAACTCTCAGCGTAACAGGAAGAAAACC